TTTACTGCATGTCAGCTCAGTTGCAGTTGAAGCATTTCAGCCTCCGGGTCCTGGATCCAGGAGTCTTAGAAGATGGAAAAAGCTCTGTACTTGCCAGCCTCTCCATTTACTGAGCTCTCTCCTCTCCCTGCTCTTGCTTCTGGGGTACATCCCCCCCAGGCACCAGGAAACAACTGTTCAGGGTGATCATCCATGGGCCTGTTAGAGGAGATGGGATAATGTGTGCGTTGTGTTTGAAATGTCATACTGTTTCCTCCAAGCATTTTTTCAGCTGGGATTCTCACTGAAGCTTGGCGCCCTGTAGGCCTGCAGGCCCGGGATGCGGCTGGGTGGGTTCTCATGGTCGGACAGAAGGTTATCTGGGCATTGCTCACTGCACGTGGCCTGGGGCACTGGTGCAGGACAGTGCTGCACTGCTGTGGGTTGGTCAAGGGCTGATGGAGACTGGGAGATGTGTTTGGAGGGAGCCAGGGTGGAGGTGAGATGTGCATATCCCAGACTGTGGCTGTTGTGGCTTTGAATGCAGAGATCTTGCCACGCTTTGCACATTGTCACCTGGGACTCAGAGGGACTTGTGCTTCAGAGCTGTGTTCTTCCCTAAACTGGAGCAGACCTACAGTGACAGACTGGCTGCCTGTGACTCTGAGAGTCTGCTGGTGGCTTTTGTCTAGCCATTTTTTGAGATCCTGCTGAACAGTCTGGCTCATGCCCCTGAGTGCAGCAGAGCAGGGCTGAGCTCTGCCTGAGCATAGCCTGTCCAGGGCATGATTCAGATTACCCTGATTTTATGTATGTGGGGATATTAACTTGTTTCAAGTTGCATCAGCTTCTGTTTGTGTCCAAGGCTTTAACAGTTGAAGGCAGAAGGCAGGACCCAGCATTGCTCCCTTCCTCGGGAGGGCTTGAATGGCTGGAGAGCCCTTTGAAGGTCTGATGTGACTGGCTGGGTTTGCTAAGCCCGATTGCTCTGGCAGGAGGGAGAGCAGCCTTCTCCAGCCTGATGACTTGGTGCGTAAGGGAACTGGAGGCACGGGCCAGGCACGGTGTCTCCTGAATCAGAATAAATCTTGGAAAACAACCCGTAAGTGCTAAAGTTGCACATAGAAAAGGTCGGGCGTTGTGCCCAGACTCGGAGCTGTCTCACGGTGGTGGAAGGGCTGGGTGACCCCATGGAGGAGCCTGGATACCCTCAGCAGATGCACTGATTACCCCTCACTCTCCTGGCTTGCTCCCCCCTTATCTTTGCTCTGGGCACCCTTTATCTTTGCTTGGAATTCCACTGGCTTTGGAGAGGGAAGTGGCCACAGCCCTGGCGTTCCCTCAGCCAGCTGAGTACAGTTGGCTTTAACTCATGGAAAACACGCTGCTCTCCTCTGTCCCAGAGGTTTTGTGGGAGCTTTCCAAGTTTGCACAACCAGTGCATGTGAGACCTAGAGAGAGACTCAGCCTGTGCTGTGTGTCCATGGTCGTGTTGATCCCTGCCAGTGGAAACATCATCTTCTCCTAGGTGGAGAAATGCTGTTTTCCTCCCATCTTCCTGCTTCATCTGAATCTCCAGGCTTGATTTTTTTTGGCTTCGATCTGACCCTTCCTGTGAGCAGAGGGGTCTGGGAAGGATCAGGCCCTGTGGCATTTCTCCAAGTGAGAAATGCTTTTTATGAAGCAGAGGGAAGCTGGAATGAGGGACTGTGGCTGCCTGCAGTCAGAAGAGGCAGATTTGGAAAGTGTGTGCAGCCTAGTGTCCTTCCACCATGGCTCTCTCCCAGTGTCCAGAGGTGGGGGGAACCTTGTGAGCCCCTGATTTGCTGGAACCTGGGGCTCTGAGCAAGGTCATGCTCAGTGCAGCCTTTGGTGGGAAAGCTGCTTAGGCGGGTGGGACAGGTGAGTCAGTGGCTTCCTCCTCATATTCCGTCATAATCCCACTCTCTGGAGTGAAGAGAGCTGCCTCCCTGCTCCCTGGAAGCCTCTGCCTGTGTTTGCTTGTTGCTTTTGGAGCCTTCCTGAGGGGCTCCCTCCTCTCCAGGCCACACTCGGCGATCTGGGCAGGGAGGAGCAGGCTGCTCCGAATTTCTGTCACATTTGCTGTTTGGAGTGTTGACACTTGCCTTGCATTTAGCAATGGCAGCTGAGGAAGCCAAGGGAGGCAGAAGAGCTGCTGCCTGGTCACGAGAAACATTTAACTCTTGCCCTCACAACTCTCTTCCCTGTGTGCTGGCAGCTCTCAGGTTGGCTGATAGGAAATGCCGGTGGTGTTCCCAAAATTTGTTCATGTTCAGTTGCTTGAAAGATGAGGAGGGTTTTTGTGTGCCATTTCCTCTTGCCCTGGAAGAAAAAAACGCTGATGCCCTGGTGCCTGGGCAGAAGGGAGAAGGGGGGGCCCTGGCAAGGAAATAGGATCCAGAGAAATGTGTCACCAGCAGAAAGAGCAATTGTTTTCCTGCATTTCCATGGCAGAGCCTTGTCCTGTTCAGGCAGCCCATGTTTGACAGCCAAGATAATACATTTATATTGATGTAATTAGCGGGACGTGGAGTTTGCTGAATGGCTCGGGGGCAGCCTGCTTTTCAGACTAACTCCAGCAAATAGATCAGGGAGGATTGGAAAGCTGCCGTGGGTTGCTGGAATTGGCCCGTTGGGTTTCTGGAGGTTGAATACATAACTGCTGATATTTCCTATTGTGCTGTACCCTGCTTATTTGAAAAGAAAATAACTCAAGGGAACATGGGGCTATTTTTGCCAGCTTGAGATGATCAAGTTTGATTTCTAAAAACTGAAGCCGAGTCTTTAAGCTTGCACATTAAAACCAGTGTTGGAGCCATATCTCTGTTCCTTCACAAATGCGTGCCTCCACGCTTTGCCAACGGTGTAAACTCTAATGAGTGTTCATAAAAAAAAAGAGAAAGAGCTTTTCTGTTCCTGCAGTGCAGCCCTTTTTGTAGGAAATGCTGTGGGCCTGAGCAGGGTCAGCATCAGGGACAGTGACAGTGGCACTGTGTCAGGGGACTGAGCTGGTGTCCTGCCCCAGTCCTGCCGTGAGCAGCCCTTGCCAAACCTTGGGGTTATCAGTGCATTCTCAATTTGGTGAAATAGAGACCAAGACCTTAAAAAAAGCTATTGTCCCCTTCAGTGATGCTGCCCAGCTGCATTTCTAATGTGATGCTTCCAGTGGCACTAAAGTTTCCCCTTCAGCATCTTGTTCCCAGTCCCAGCCCAGGTGATTTCAGTTTACTGAGGATATCACAGGCAGCTTCCCAACTTGTGTCCTTCTGCTTCTGTAACAAAAAGGTTTGCAGAGGAAGTTACTCATGGACAACTTTGCTGGCAGCAAATCCCTTGTGTTTGTGCTGATCTGTGGAAGTGGAAGCACAGCCCCAAGGTCCTTGTGTGCTGAGCTCTGTCTTTTCCTGTGGCAATCCACAGAGGCTGCAGCATTGATGTGGTCAAGCTCCTGCTCTCCAGCTTGCCCCTTGTCAGTCTGATTCCTGCAGACTCTGGCCAGCAGGCAGAATTCGGGAAGTCCTTGGAATTGCAGCCCAGCAGGTCTGTGCTGAGTGCTTTCCCTTCCTATCCCATGGTATGTGCAAGGATAATGATGTGATGTGGCACTTTGGGGGTGCTCTGTCCGCTGGTGTTGGTCTCACTTGCTCATTAGCTCTCCTGAATCTCCTGCCTTTCCAGTGCAGGAGCAGCTCAGGCAGTGCCTTGGAGGTGCTGTGGGTCTGGAATTCCCTGTGTAGCTGCATAGACCCTTGGGCTAAAAGGTTCAGGGTGGTCCTTGTGAACCTGAAGGCTTCCTGAATCAGTCCCCTACTTACTCGTTACTGGTTCCCAAGTGGTGTCCCTTGCCCATTCTGTACACCCTCCCTCTGCTGCTCTGGTTCCATTAGCAGCACCTGCCCAGATGTTCACCACAGGGTATCTTTTCCCCACTGTCTGCAATTGTCAGTGATGGGGAGTGCTGGAAGAGAAAAGCTCTTTGTGGGTTCACCATCACCTACCCCAGGGGTATCACACTGCATTTGATGCAGCATCTAGCTGTGGGGATGGTGAGCAAGGTCGGGGGGCAGAATGGAGTCTCTTGCTCTGCTGTGCTCACACAGAGGCTCACTGATCACATGGTGCCAGCTGAATCCTTATTTTTGTCCTCCCTCCCCAACCTAAAATAGAGGAAGTAAGAGTGTGCTGGAGAGCCAGACACTTACGGAGAAGGGTTCTTATTGCCACCATCTGCTAAAAGCCCGTCCCAAAGGAGACAGCACTTTCCCAAAGCAGGAATTTCATTAAAACAGGTTGTTTTGAGAGCAGAGAGTATGAAGGAGGAAGGGGAAATATCTCGGAGGAGGGAGGTTTTGCCGAGGCAACTACTCAAACGTCATGGCTTCTGGGGGCGGGGTGGGCATGTTTGGCATAATCAGAGGAATTTGTACTTCAGAATCTCCAGGAGATGTAGCTGCTAATGATGTCCTGGCTATGCAGAGTAATTAACATCTGTTTCTGTATTTGAACATTCAGGCAGCGTGCCCCGCCAGACATCGCTGCGTTCCCATCCGGCCCCTCGGGAGATCCTGCCCTGTTGCTAATTGTCGAGAGCTGTCCAGAGTCCTTCTCCATACAATCCTGCTGTGCTCCATCCTGCTGTGCTTCCGAGGTGTGGCATTCCCTGCTCTGATGACAGCTCACACCAGGATGCTGAGCAGCAGCTGCCGGCAGAGAGTGAGGCCAGTGGTGGGCATGGAACTATAAAGTCACAGCCAAAGGTTCTGTGAGAGGACAAGTGAAGAGCCTGAGCTGACCCAAAAGCTGTCTCCAGGGGGGACCAAGCTCCAGCTGGATGTCGTAGGAAGCACAGAGCCCTCTCCGAGTTGAAGTTCAAGGGGATGCTGATTGAGGGACCAAAAATGTGAGGTTGGTTGTCTTTGTTGGTGCCATGCTGATGGGCCTGGAGTCTCAGCAGCCATTTATTCTTACGTGACTTTTTTCACTCTCTGTCCAGCAGCTCGGGACAGCAGCTGCTCCTTCCAGGCTTGGTGTGCTCCCGGTGCTCAGTGCAGGGACCTTCTAGCATGCTCCTCCAGCCAGGCCACTCAGCGGGTGCCAGCAGTGGCCGCTCGGGGCCGGGGACACCAGGCTGACCCTACAGCGACTGGCTCTGGACCTGCCAAGCAGGAATTGTGTTGGGTGAGAGGCTTTTCTAAATCAGCTGGGCTGGGCTGTGCTGGGAGGGGCTGGAAGGAAGGAAACCTTCTCTCCTCTGGTTTTTGAGCAGTTACCCTGCTTCATGTCTCTCGAGCCTCTTGTTTTTTGTCTTTCTTCCTTGTTTGAATTCCTTCTTTGAGTGTTTCCATGCTGTCTGTGTGAAGGCTATGTACTCAAATGGTTGGGGATTCCAATGTCCTCTGGTTTTCTCATGGTGAAGAAGAAACTGTGAGAGTGGAAGAGAAATTGTGGGGTCTTCCAGCACCTTGGAATCTTAAGCAGTGCAAACTTGCATGACTGTCCCAGGGTGTGTGTGAGGCAGTTCAAGGGCAGGACAATAAATGAAGAAACTGCATGGCTTTGCCTGCAGTAATCCCAGAGCTGTGGCAGTTCCCAGCCCACTGGGACAGAGAGGTGACTGTGTTGTGCCTTATGTGGGTGAGCTGCTTTCAGCCTGGACATTCAGAGCCTGGGCTGTGGAGGCAGGATGAGGTGATGGGAAGCCAGTCTGAGCTTGGACCGTCAGGATACGTTTGCAGCGTGTGATGGTGTTGTCCTTGGGTTCAAATGATCCAGGTTGATGTGGTGGCCTTATCCAGGTTGGATAATCAGATAGACACTAGTGCTTGCTGTGTGTTGTCCCATCTGGTCTGCCTGGATGTTTATGAACTCACTGTAGTCTTTTTGTGTCGTTGATGTCCAGCCACAGCAGATTTGCAGGAGCCTCTCATAGCTTTGGTAAGTGAAGCTGGGCCATGAGCACTCTGGTGTTTGAGTGGTGACTGTCACCAGGCTGGTGTTGGTCAGATCTCCACCACAGCTTGTTCTCATGGATGAGAGGGATGAGGTGGTGTTCCTGCTCTTGGATCTGTTTTCATGCAGCCTTGGAATGGCTTCCAAAAGCTACTGCCCTTATTCCTGTTGCCTGACTTTGCTGTGTCTTAGCAAGTGGAGCCTGCTGGAGGGGAGCCTGTGGGTCTGCAGCACCACAGAAGGCTCAGGCAGCTGGATGTGTCTTTCAAGGCATGTGGGAGTGACTCCAGTAACATGATTTCATCTCCATCTGCCCTTTTGGTTCAGGATGCTGCCAGCAGCCTTTGGTTAAAGCTCAGCTCCCTCTCAGTGTTGGAGGTACCTTGTGTGGCTGGCAGGCTTTGCTCCACCATTACTCAAACCATCTGCATTGTGTTTCAGCCCTCTCAGAGTATAGCCTTTTTCTCATATGACCATTGTGTTTGTTCAGATGACTGTTCCCAGAAAATATTGCTTAAGGTGTGTATAATTGAACAGATCCTACAATTCCAGCTGCATTAGTGTAGCTGAAGAGGAGCCACTTGTGATGGAGACAGTGAGCCAGTAAAACTACTCTGGCAAGGAGAGGTGAGGGTTGTGGTGGTGTCAGGCACTGTTTTGTTTGTATCACTTCCTTGTACCAGGTGTTATTCCACACCTATCATTTCAATAAGTACAGTCTCCTAACAGAAGCAATGGCATGGCTGCCACATCAGCGTGCAGAAGGATTGATATGTTTTTCAGGTGTCATCTGGGGGTGGAGAGGGATAAGCAGTAATGTGGTACTTTTTCATTAAATGATTGTGCTGAGCTGTGCTTCTGTGTTGCTCAGAGAAGCTGTGGCTGCCCCATCCCTGAAAGTTTTCAAGGCCAGGCTGGATGGAACTTGGAGCAGCCTGGGATAGTGGAAGGTGGCAGGGGGTGGTAGGAGATGGGCTTTAAGGTTCCCTCCAACCCAAACCATTGTGTGATTCTATGATTCTAGACGAGGAACTTCTCTCTGACCCCTGAGTCTGTCCCACCTCCCTATTCTCTCCAGGTTCCCTGTGCTCCTGGGGAAGGCAGGAGCCTCTTGTGCAGCTCTTAGCCTCTTAGCAATTCTTGTGCTTTTATCTCTTGGTTGTTTGTGATGGAAATGCCAAATGGCACCATTGTCTGACAGGCTTCTCCCACCTCAGTGCTTGCCTGAGGCACAGCCAGAGATGTGTTGGTTTAAATCTAGGCCACTTGGTTGGAAATTGGGACGTGGTGCCTGATGAAAGCCAGGGAAGGCCAAATTGCATTAAAATGGCAGAAGGAGACAGCCAGTTGCTGCTCCAGTGAGGACTGGAGCTATCTCCAGGAAGGGGTGCAACTGGATGTGTCTTGGGCAAATGATATATTTACTGTCTGTCTAATCTGTGTTAGAATTAAAGCTGTGACTGGAGTGTCTGGGGACAGTGTGCTCAGGGGACATCTCTACCTCCTGCCTCTCAGACTTTGCTTGCCAATTCTGTGTCCTGAGTTTTCACTGGCTGTGAGACTGTTTCTTCCTGCAGTTCTCTTTCCCTCCCTTCTGCAGTGGCCAGCCCTTCATCTGCTTATCTGTCAGCTTAGCATGATCTGAAGATACAATCCCTTCTGTCCTTTTGGGAACAACTTCATGTTTGTGCTGTGTCTGGGCCTCTATGAATTTGGGTTGCTGAGTGATTGGGAGGAAGGAACTTCATGGGTCATCAAGTCCAGTTCCGTGCTGCTGAAGACGAGCAGTCATCTCATGCAGGTCATGAACTTGTCCAGGAACGAATTGTTGGAACTCATGCTGTGTTTTTTCCCCCCAGTGCTTCTGGAGCAGCTGGTCCAGGGATCTGCTCTTGGAAAGGTTAGAAATCCTCCTCACACTTCCAGTGTCCACTTTGCCTGGGTTGGTTTGTTGTGCCTGTGCCATTGCAGAAAGTCAGCTTGCAGATGAGATGATGACTTGCACATTTTTTTTCCTTCCCTGGTTCTCTGTAACCTTTGTGTCCTGCAGCAGTTGTGGCTTTGGATGGAGATTTGTCCTGAAAAATGTGCTGAAGGCTGTTTTGTTTTCCCATTTGGGCAGCTTGGATTGGTTGGGCCCGTTTGTTTCCTTGTTGTGCTTTTGAGTGTTTCAAGAGCAGGTGGAGCTGTGAGCTGCACAGTTTGTGAATGTTAGTGAGCAGAGAAGAGCACTTTTTGTGCTGCTGTCATTTCTGTCTTCTTTTTTAATGTTTGTCCTTACCACTTGTGCCATCTTGTCCCTTCAGGAGGGAGAGATGTCAGAAACATTTGAATCAAGGTGAATCTGATAAAGCAATGTATTGAAGAACCAGTGCCTGGCTTTTACTCGTGGCTCTTATTCATGTTTATCTCTAACTGTGAATGTGCAATAACAACAGTTCTGTTCAGCACAGGCTGGCACAGCCTCAGACAGGAAGATCTGCTGTTTACCAAGCAACACTCTGCTATAAGTGAGAAAGAGGGGAAAAAAGTGGTTTATTGCTGCTGGGTAGCTCAGAGTGTAGTTAAACCTTTCTGAAAAAAGAGGAAACTAAGAGCACATGTGTTACTCAAGATGCATTTTTCCTGGCAAGAGTCCCATGTGTGTGCTCTTCTTGCAAAGCATCCCTGCGTATGCTCCTTCCCATTAAATCCATAGCATATTGGGAGCAGGCAGGCAAGAGCTTCCTGTTTTTATAATGCAACTGGTCTCAGCAGGCAGTCTGTCGAGGTGATTTTTCAGCCTGACATCTTTTGTAGCTGGGGCAGCCTGCGAGCTGAGTAGGATGACAGAACTCTGCTGCAAGGATTATAAACACGGGGAGGAAAAGATCTGGAAATGAGATCTGCTGGTAAAGCTTCCCAGGATTGGATGCTGTGGCTTGTGTTGTTTTGTTCCTTCCCCTATGAGTCTCTCTGTGGCATTTCCTCGCTGCTGTGGCTGAGAGGGCCCTGCCAGCCCACCCACACCATGGTGACACTCCGGAGTCACCCACAATTGGCTGGGAATTGCGGGATAGACGCGGCTCGTTGCACTTCACTGGAGCAGTGTTAATTGACTTAATAGAGCACTGGCGTTGTAGGGATTTCGTTGTGTGGGTTTTCTTAAATGTGTGTGCACTCAGACCCTTCTGCAGCAGTGCCCTTGTTGCCATTTTTATGCTTGTTCAGAAACTGCTTTGCAGTTGTCAGTGGAGATGAGGTTTGAAGTTAACCCTTATTTTGCAAAAGCCTTTGTGCTTCTCCTCTTTTTCTCCCTCCAGCTTCTGATTAAGATGCCTATTGCCCTTTCCGATCTGTGTAATCCCCTCTCTCAAAGTGACTGGGATAGATTTCCAGTAGCTCCCTGGATCATCTGTCACTGGTTTACAGTGTCCAGTGCAAGGGAGAAGAGAAAACTTTGCTCAGACTTTGCTGGTGGTTGCTCTGTAGCTAAGCTGGCTCTGCAATACATCTATTTTTCATATCAATCTTTCACTTCAGGCTTTGGACACCTCTTCCTCTGCCTGCATACTTACAAAGAGTCAGTGCTGGGCATTAAATGCAGCTTAGCCCAATTCAGCTGCTGTGTATGAGTTTCTTCTGGGTTAAAGTTAGGCCAGAACCAGTTTCAAAGCAGCTGAAAGAAGGTAAAAACCCTCAAGCTTGCCTTTGCATGTTGGTGTATGTGGCCAGAGATATGTACTGCTGTTCTGGACTTTTTAGCATGGAGTGTTAGATCCTCTTCTGTTCTGGTCAAGGACTCCAGGTTCAATTATCTTGTTACCTCATTAATAACCCATCTGGAAATCTGCTTCCAGACAGTTCACTTCAGCTAGTGATATCTCTGCAAGTGGTGTACCAGTCTTATTTCTCACCAAGACCTGGAAAACAGCTCACTTAAAGCTTCCTGACCCCTCAGTTTCCTGCAAGGCCAGAATATCTGACTCTCTTCCCTCAGGCCTCTGCCCCAGAACAAACATTTGGGTGGGTGAGTTTCACCCTTCTCTCCCTTTCCTGTGTCCCCCCATCTGCAGTGTTTGCACACTGCCTGTCATCCTTGTGCCTTGCACACCTGAAGGCTCCTTGGCCCTGGCAGGTAAGGCAGAGCTTTCTGAGTCACAGAGCCCTGGGGAGCTCTGTGGTGGAGCACAAAGGCTGAAAAAGCTTTCCCCATCCCAGCTGAATATGCCAGCCATTATCCCTTCTCT